ACTAGCCTTTATACTTCTCTTTTAAAGCCTTGTTGTGTGCAACAACTAATAGAAACATTTATCCTTCTTCAAGAACAAAGTAAAAAAAGAAATCCAGTCGTTAGTATTGGAAAAATAGATTTTAAATAGTTATGAATAGGTTTGTTTTAAAGCCGTCTGTTTTGAATGATAACTTCAAAAAATAACTGCTACTGCTTGGTGTCCTCAGGAGAAAGCAATGCTTTCTGTATTAAGAGTGTCTGGTGATTAAGTCAGAAATTATACAGCTTATAAACTTATTAAGGGTTTACACATGTGCAAAAGCTGGAGTGATCTTTGAGTAACCAGTTAAGGATGTAATTTAAGACACATAGTAAATGGATACTTTTGATGATATCAGGATTTCAAATTTCCTTCCATTCTGTCAGAGAAAATATTACCATTTTTCCTGATTTGTCTCCTATTTTATAGGAAAATTGTTTATGCTGGATAAACTGGGTCTATCCCATCTTTCATACTTCAGTGTCCATCACACTGAGATCCTGTTTTCAGAATTATACTGAAGTGGTAACACTGACTCATTAAATCCTCTTCATTCTTCTTGTAGAATCATGTCACCTGATTGGTTTCTGAAGATTTTTGTAGCATTTACGTCTTCTTGTGATACGAGCTGGGTAAATTTCTAAGAAGAGAGTTCTCTTCTTTGAGATCTTTCCAGTCCAACACTCCTGCAATCCCTTTTCTTACTTGAAGATGGTGAAAAAAATGTATCTGCATCGTACAGATGAGTAAGCTTCCCAGATTTTTAAGATACTTACTCATTGTATATAAATAAGTGCCTTATCACTGTTGTAATAAAAGTTCTGTATATGAATCTAATCTATCAAGTAAATACAGAAAATTCCCATTTTATCTTCCAGAGGTCATTTATTATATTGGTTTTGAGCTGGAGGCAGGAGAGGATGAAAATGGGTTTACAATTAACTACTGTTTACCGCAGATTTTTTTTCTCCTCATCTTTATAAATATTCCAGTGACTTCTTTTTGTCCCTTTTCATTTGCACCTTTTGAGGACTATATTTAGGCTTAGAAAATTTGTGTGGCAAGTCAGATTTAAAACTTTTATAAATAGACATCGTGAAAACTTCCAAGTTTCACTGTCTATATATTGCATTAGACAGGTCTGTGTAGGGGGAGAGAAAAACAGTAAAACTTATACATTATTTAAGAACATGAAATTATTTTAAATAGATCCAGTCAACAAGGAAAGCAGACATTTTTCCCAAGGTATTTATCATGCAAGTATTGCAGATTACTCTTACTTCTACAGGCAGTTTCTCTTAATCAGTCTAGTATCAATATAGTACCCTTGTTGGTGACACAAAAGTCACTCTACTTTATTTTAATAGATTTTATTTCCGAAGAAAAATCATGTGTGTACTTTCTTTCTCCATATATTCATAATCTCTGTGAGGAAAGCTTTCACTTAGTGCATTTTATTTTAATTTCACATTTGCTAATAACATGCTTTTCAGAAAAAGCAGGTGCTTTCACAGCATCATACAAGAGGTATGTTTTGAAGGAGCAACATGTAGCTTGTTGCCCTTTGATGTAAATTTGTGAGGAAGATAGATTATAACATCAAGATGTTTCTCCGTGCATAATAAACTGCAGAGGACAAAGTTCATGGCTGAGAATTGTATGGGATACAATTGACTACCTTCACTACAATCAATTATTAGGATGATTATATTGTGTCTGGAGAATACGATGCTAATGACTAGCTAACGCTCAGAATACAGACTCTTGACTTGAAAACCAATGACAGTTAAATGAAGCAAGGGGAAGGGCCTATATGTTGAGCTAGCAGCTCTCTCGTGTTGCTAATGAATAATTAAAAATAACAGTCTTTATATGTGGCTTGACAGTATACATATCCTTTAAGTATATCCTGCTTTGTAAGGAACTTGGCACCATGACAGCCCAGGAAAGCATCCTACAGCATCCTGGGCAGACAGAGCTTCAGGAGGCAGGGAGCGAAACACCCTCGCGGTCAGGAGGGCCCAGGCAGGATTAGCTGTGTCCTTACTGCTCACCTTCGACTCCCCCGTCTTCCAAACAAATAAATAATTGAAACCCATTACCTCTTTTAGGGGGTTTGCTCACATGCTTTCTATATTCACATCAAAGCCGAGATCAGTGTCAGAGAAGCAGCCACATTTAGCTGAGTCTCTCAGAGACTACTGATTAATTAGTTTTGCATTTTGGAAGTGCATCCAAAGATGTTCTAAAATAGTGTTTGTTTTTGCCTTTGCCAAAACTTGTTTAGGAGCACTCTGGAGGATGACGGTGATGTACTCAAGATGGCTGTGAAAGAAAAGGGCAATCAATTCAGGTGTGCATGTGCCAGCATTTTTTTCCCCTTATGAAGTTTCTGCACCGTTTTTCAGACGAGTGGCTAAATGAAACACACACTGGTATTAATAGAAAGTGAAGGATGGAGTGGGAATGGAAACTCTGACATTCCCCTTAACTGAACCAGTGTAAAATGAAAGGTACACCAAGGGTAACAATGCAGATCTTAAAAAATATATAAAAAAATAAAACAAACCTGACACAGATAAGGGAGATGCAAAGACTATAAATCCTGCATAAAATTTTGCCTTTTGAAAGCATTTAATCCCTGTTTCTTACATTGACTTTTTTTTTTCTTCATAAAGTGTGGTAATATGATGTATGAGGGGATACTTGGTTATGGCAAATACTGCCTACAAAAGTGTGTTCATACTGTTATTTGCCTTTCTGTCTCTGTCTATATCAACTCCACATGCTGCTCTGGTGGCCTGCTTTGTACTTAATATAACTTGTCAAAACACATCTATCAGATATATGAAAAGGCAAACCTGGGTGGCCAGACTAGTCCAAGCCTGGCGTGGATTGCATTTTACCAAGACCACAGAAATCTCTTCTCCTCCATGAGATTAAGATGAAAAGCAGAGTTCATTGTTGTGCAACCAGATTTTAAAATAATTACACACACGTTAGTGCATTAGTAGGCCACTTGTGTTTATTTGAATCCCACATGCTGTACTTTTATGTGGATTTTAAGTGATTTTTAAAACTGTCAGTACAAAAAAAAAAAAAAAGAAGTTAAAAGTGATGTTACCACTTGTTTTAAACTGTCTTTGTTTCTCTTTTTTTTTTTTTGTTGTTGTTGTTGTTTTTTTTAATCCTTTCCTGTATTTGCTTCTGCATAGTAAGCTGCTACCATCCCAGCACCTTATCTGTTTCCAGGAAAGAGGGCATGTGGTTCCCTTTGGCTGTTGACTGAAAGGCATCTATATCTTCTTTGAACCACGACAGTGTAAGAACTGAAAATCCTTACATCTGTGATATGCTCAGTGTTCACCCTCTGGTTTCCTGGGAGCTCATGGTAAGTGCTATATAAAGGAACACGCCCCTGGATACAGACTGAAACTCACTTGTTGATCCATAGATATTTGCTTCTGCTCTCATCGCCCTTTCACAATGAATGTCTATTGCTTTGAAATAGATAAATTTTTTTTATTGTTGTTGCAGCATATTCAGTGTGAATTTTTTAGATGTCCTCCTCAAATTCCAAGACTAAAGTCCTTCTAGAAAAATATTTAAAAAACTCGATCCATGGCAGCTTACTTTGCAACCTATTTATGCTTGCCTACCAAGTGCATAAGTGAAACAATTTATTTGAAACATGATTAAAAAAAAAAAATTGCTAGAATTTCTTAAAGGAGTCCCATTGAATTTGTGGACTGAAAATCAACATGGGACCAACTCATGCTATAATGTTGTTGCATCATGGGATCTCCTTGGAAGTGCAAAATTTCCAAAAGAATGACCATGAAAATACACTAACATTTTTTATCGTGGTTTTTGGCAGTTTTTACACTTGTATTCAAAGAAACCACTGAAGAGGATTGTTCCAGAATGGCTAGAATTCTTTGGTTTTAGCTTTCCGAAGTGCCTATATGTTATTTCTTTGTCTGGAGAGTGAAAAGCCTTGAGAAACACCAGTTTGCATAACAAAGAGAACCCTTACCTGCCAGGTGGGTTATACTGATTTGCTGTCAGGGAGCACAGCATTCTGTGCTCATCGGTGCTTGGGAATAACTGCACATCCTGCTGTCTCACTGGGTGGCTTCAGGAGCTGACTGAGAATTTAGGGACTATCATTTAAAGCTCTGTAATTGTGTAAGGGGGAGAAGAGGAAATTGGAGGCATACTGCCAATATCTTTAAAGCCTTTACACTAACCCTGCTGGAGGACAGCAATGTGAATAAGCTGCATGTCATTACATGACACCAAAAATAGGAAAACACTCAGAGGTAACTTGTCTAACCTTAGTGGAGACGTGATAAAGTAGAGCTTTTCTGGCTGTACTGGCACTGAAAGAGTCAGCAGCAGTCAACTTTCTTCTAATAACCAAATGTGCTGAACATGAGCTAGTTATTGCAAACACAATTATTCGGTAATTGGATAAGCCTAAAATATCTTGGATACATCCTTGATCCAAGAGCTGGCAGCTTATTGATTATATCATTGTTTGGCAAAGAGGCATGCAGGCTGCAGGACTCACAAGATACATACCCAGAGCAGACTGCTGGACCCACTATCATGGAATTGGCTCCAAGTTACTGATTCGGCTACATTGTTGGGGAACTGGCACAAAGCCTGCTAGAAGTAGACACAAAACACTTTAAAGATCTAAATATTAAAGATCTAAACACTAAACAAGAGCTGTGTAACGGCATCCTTGTAAGGCTTGCCTGCCCAGGAGCATGTAACAGCCCAGGATGTCAAGGGGAAAGCACTGCAGGATAGGGCACTGCTGGTACAATTAATTTTGTCAAAAATCAGCATTAGGACCAACTTGATATCTAAATCAAAATGTATATTAAGTGAAAAAAATGCAACCAATCATTCAAAACACCCCCCCCAAAAAAAAAAAAACAAAAAAAAAACCCCCAAAAAAACCCAAAAAAAAACCCACAAAAAAAAAAACCCAGACGTCTGTTTTCCATTCCAGGGCAAAGAAAACATATTATAAAAACATAAGTAGAGGCAAAACCTGAAGCTGGCAAAAATCAGCAGTAAGGTAAGGAAGTTGTTGATATGTAGGTCTTTTCAGACCAGAGTAACACCAAACACTACCCCTTTTAAGAAATTGTGCTGCTAAAGGCGAACAATGATTACATAGATTAAAAAGACTGGATTGGGAATTTGTTATTATAACTGACTGTCAAATTAGGCAGATGTGAACAGGTGTGTATGAGGTAGCTCTTAAAAATTCAGTTTTAGTAAAAAAAAAAAAAAAATCAAAGTATCTCTTCCAGATTTATTTTTCTAAATTATCTCTTCCAGATTTGAGGCTATTTAATTACAAACAACCTTTTGATTACGTAAGGTGGTTGACAATATTTTAAGTCCTACTTTTGTAAGAACCACAAAATAGTCAATGAACAAGCTCAATTTGGATAAAAATTCAAATGCCTAGGCAAAGTTTATCTAATATAGACAGCACTGAGTGTCTTTCATATGCCTTTATTTATTTTAGGCTCAGACCTCAATTATGATGTGTGAACACAGCAAATGGGTCTCCTTGCCAGGCAAAGGATAGTCTCTGATGTGAGTAAGGTCGGCAGGATCAGAATTTTACCATGATGGCTGAAAACTGATAATAGCAACTTTATCTGACTGCTGGAGTGATGCAGGCCTATCATGCTGTGGCTTCAATAAAGGCTTCTAAGCTTTAATCACTGTATTCGAGGCTGTAGTCTCTGACTTATTTGAAACAGCTGAACTTCCCCCGAGTGACTTGTCTGGTTACATTTGTGGTACCTGACCTACTTTGCAGCACTTCCCTCGGTACCTCCTCATCATATGATGTCCCATGAAAGCACTCAGAATCGGAACTCACTCCCAATAAAGGCCAATAATTAAATAAAAATAAAAACACATTTGACATCCCACAACAAAGGGAAATCTCAGTGGCTTTTGCATGTGCTTGCCTGCTGAATCAGACAGTAGTTCCTGTCCCCACAGAGCTACAGGATGATGGATCACCAAAATGACAAAAATAAGAATAGAATTTTGCACTGTATTCTTTCTCTTCCCTTGAATCTCAGAGAACATCAGATATGTTAATTAATTCTCTCTGTTTTCCTGAGGTTTTCTGTTAGACCCGTTTAACAGGTGGGTAAACCAATGCTAAAAAGTGTTCTGACTTGCCTTCTCTGAACTCTACACCCACTTTGGGTCAAGATGCTCCAGCACTCGAGGCTTTATTTAGAATAACCCCATCATTTCTTTAATGGTAGGTAATTTCATTTCCTTTAGGATGAATCTTATATCCTCTATATTTGCAATTTAAATGTGAGAGATGAATGAGCTCATGTTAAAGCTCGGGTTGAGTTTAAGGAGTGTAAGAACATGAAATCTAGTCCTGAAGAAGAGCTTGTGTGCTTGGAAGCACTTTTTTTTTTTGAATTGCTCCCCCCATTTTATGTTAATAACCAGCTCATTCACACATTACTTCTCCCTGCAGACCTATCTCCTTCTTTGAGCTCAATGCATCCAGGTTTTCAGCCACTTAGCACAAGACTAGGTCACATTCAAAGAGGAAAGTTTATTGCCATATTTATGCATACAGCAAAATAATTTCCAGTTCCAGTTGTGAATGCTGACTTGGACACTTAAATCTTTAACCTGTGGGCTCGTATTGCAGTATGAAAAAATAGTCCTGTGAAGGTGAGTATTCTAAACTTCCACCTGTACCTGACATGATAACTACTATGACCCCAAATTATGTCTGCTGATTGCAACCTTGTGGCACATATGAGTAGAAATTACCCTAAGCTTTCCCAGCTTCACAGACTTCCCTATAGTGAGGCCATTCTACTAATCAGGGGATAATACAGTAGTTGCTGCCCACAGACTGGGAGCTGCAATCAATGGCACACATGATTTCAAAAGCCATCTCCCAGCAGCTTTCTCACCAGTCCCCAATGTATGGGGATAAGTCACATCTCCTTAATCAAACAAATTAGTGAGGTAGATAAAGGAGATTTTATTTCCTCTCAGAGCCAGAATTTTGAGGACATTGGCACTTCCATTCTCCTTCTGTTGTCTTTTTGGCTCATTTTCATGTGCCCAGTGTTAGCTGATGGCAGCCGCCAGTTTCAGCTGACAGCCTCCTGGCCAGTGCCTAGGACAGCTTCCACAAAGAGGAAGGGGGAAGGGGAAAATCTTGCATACTGCTGCTTTACCCTTCCTCATCCCTCTGGGATTGGTTCCTGTTCTACTGCAGACCTGAGAGGCTGCCTTTTCACTCAGTTGATTTAATTTAATTAGCCTCTGTGAAGCAGAGGCTTAAAGTTGCTAACCCAAAGCTCACAAGAATCCAGTTGACAAAATGCAAGGCGCAAAATCAAAAGCTAATTTTTTGAAAAGTTAGCTTGTGAACCAGTGTGAAATACACGGTAAAGATCAAAAAGTCTTAGACATTTGTCAAAAATATCAGTCTTGAAAGACACAGTAATATAGCTTAATTCTGAAGAGCATTAGCAGGCCCACAATAAAGAATTAAGTCTTGTCTCTGATGCTTCAGTAAGATTTTCAGATATGTGGTTTTGTAGTTCAACAAAATACTTCACAGTATGTACAAAAATAATAATAAAAATATTCCTTGACCCATTTTCTTAAGTTTTATTCCCTATATCTTTAGGTGTGTCTGAAAAAAATCTTTTTTTTTTTCCGGATTATGAAGTAGCTGCTGTTGTTGTACTTTAAAGTTTCTCCTATTTTGAAAGAAATTATATTATCTAGGATTATTTATTTCTTATTTAAATCTATCGCTCTTTGACTGTATTCATCCTGTTCTCTGGAATCTGATTTTAATTGTTTGAATCTGATTTGGTTATAATCTTGGTATCTTCTGAAGTTTGTAGAGGTTTGTGGCCTGGCTGGTCATTTAAAAAACAGTAGGAGCTAAACTCATGACCTTTTTGACTGACCTTCCTTCTCCTTTAGCAGATGCCAAATACTGGCACAAAATAGCATTTTTACCTGCACCTTGACAAGGTTTTTGAAATAGCATCTATAATGATGTATTCTACAGAGCCTTACAAAGTCCAACTCCTGGCCCTACATGGGACACCCCAAGACTTACACCACGAGCCTGAGAGTGTTGTCCAAATGCTTCTTGAATTCTGTCAGTCTTGGGGCTGCGGCCATTGCCACAGCCTGGGGAGACAACATTCAAGGTGAGGATGGTCCAATGCAAAGCACAGCAGGACAATCATCTACCTTGACTGGCTGGTGATGCTATACCTCAAAAATTCCTTATCTCTAACTTCACTAAGGATGAAAGATTTTTGGTTCCTCTCATATGTCTACTTTGCAGGTCTAAATGAGCTTTCTTCAGCAGAAAAATCATGCTCTGAAAAATGTCTGTCTTTCATTATGCAGTCCTTTTCATGTTACATTTTACAGTATGACATAGTAAATGGAGTGCAGTGGCTCTTCAGTAGCCCAAAAGCATGATCAAGAAAAACACAATTTACCAAAAATTAATATAAACTCTTTATATATATATCTTTAAAATACACTTCTCAGAACTTCTGGAAGCGGAATGATCTGTTTTTTCTACATTGATTACATTTCACACTAATTGATTATCTTTTTCTGTCACACTCTTCATTGCAGAACCTATTGTACTCCATCTCCTAACTCTGTATGTGGAATTGATTGTAAAAGTAACAGGTTAGACCAGTTGCATAGCAAACCTGTCTGTGTCTCAGAAGCTGCTGCACTCAACGTCTTTGTCTTTCACTTAGCTGAATTATGCAGTGGTCAACTCTCCTCCATACAGTGGGTTTTGCAAGCGTGCTGAATGGCTGTTTTCAGTGTAGTCTCATTTAGCAGATATTCCCATGTGGCTTCCATGCATCCCCATGCTAATACTGTTCTCTGTGTAAACACATGGATTGAATTACTTAATGCCCTTTTGATCTAAACATAAAAAACCCAAAAACAAACACAACAAAAAACCAAACTAATAAGCAGTCACATTTCTTTTCAAGCTACTGGGCAACAGCACAATTCCCTTCTTCTGACTTCTTCACCTGTGTCACTTTGCAATCCTAGTTACATTCTGAATCTCTGTTTTCTCTTGCACTGGCTCTTCCCTTATGTGTTCGTGTGTGTGTGTGTGTGCATGTGCATTTTTCCCCTTTCTCTACTTTGTTGGCCTCAGAACCTCCCCTAAGTCTGCAACTACTGCTTAAACACGGTTCATCAGCACTTGCCTGCTTGCTCCCGCTGGGTGGAAAAGCATTGAAACTTTGGGAAGGATGGTCAGTCTCTTTGCCAGCCTGTTTTTTTTGAGGCAAATTACCCACAGGTGTAAATAGCTGAGCTTCTATGAATCTATTTTACTTAAGCTGAGGATCTAGGCCTCTGATTTACTTTCCCCAGCTGTAGCCATACTGGCTTGTTCAATTACTTTTATAACTGTGCCATTCAATTCCATCTGAGCACTGCTATGGCACTGTGATTTAGCTTAGACCCTACTTAACAGAGAATTTATTGTCTCAGTAGATAAATGATGACTGTATACTGTTTCTCCTAATAACTTGAATGCTACTGATAACATAATGTACAGCACGTTTGATGCAGAAGGGTCCCAGGTGCTTTATAACAGAGTATATGAACTATATAAAAAGATAACTTTGCTCCCTGCTGAAATGCAGCCATCTCTGCTGTGAAGCAGGCATAACCACACTGCAGAACAGTTTGGGATGCAACGTGGTGTCCAATTGAAACTGCAAGGGGAATTTTTTGTAAGTAGAATATAATTACCCAAGCTGGATGTCAGCCAGGACTCAGGGAACACCCTGGATCTTGAAGGAACTGCCAATGGAAGATGGAGATGTTACTACAGGCATACATGCTCTTGTTTCTTGATCAATTCCAAGTGGATAACTTGTTGTCTTTTAATTTCCTCTTCGATGCTTATCTTTTTTTTTATCAGCTGCTCTTTCTGTAGCCCTATTATGTGTCATGTTCTGATTTCTCTCTTCTTACATTTCCTCTCCTACATTTCACACATGCCAGTATTTCCTCCCCCCACCTTCTTTCATCCAAAGCATCCTAGCAAAAAGAACAAAAATAACTCTTTACATAATTTTGTTGAATAAAAAGTTTGCTATATGAGGGTAATGCATTTCACTGCATTTGTACGTACAGAATTTACACAATCACAAATAGCTAAAACATGGATGTTTGTTTTTTCTCCTGATACTTAAATAGATTTAAACAAATTTGGTTAGAGCCTGGTGCTAATAATGCCAAGGTTGTGGGCTTGACCCCTGAATGGTCCATTCACTTAAGAATTGGATTTAATGTTCCTTTTGGGTCCCTTCCAATTCAGGATATTCTGTGATCCTCTGAAATTCCAACACACACCCACACCCACACCTCCACACATACCCACAAAGGATTATGCTGTTGAGGAACAGAGAGATTTCCTAAACTGAGTGTCTGGACAGAAACCCCCTTCACGCAGTACTCTCCAAAACTCCTTAAAGCTTACACTAAAATCAATGTCAAAACTCTTCGACCAGAAACGGGTTTGCTCCCAGAAAGCCATGAGATACTGAGGGACTTGAGCAGTGCTGAGGTGAATGTTGGCAATCATAAAAATGAACACTTTTTTCTCAACTCCATTTATAAACCGGCTCTCCACTGGCTG